TTCAACATCCTCCAAGGGAACAACCACGACAACCAGTCAAGCCGCAAACACTAATAATGGAGTTTGTACTTGTTCCAGCTACAGCACTATCAATGCCTATGGCCAATGTGGTGGTGGTTCGATGAACAATGGCTGTTATGCATGTGCGGAGGGTTACTACTGTTCTACTCAGAATGAGTACTACGCACAGTGTGTTCCAGGTACTTCTACTAGTCCTCTCTGTACAGCTTCTGCAGCAGCCGGGACTAGCGCTACTAGCAGCAAGGCCAGTAGTAGCCAGACTACAGTTTCGGCTGTGACCACTACTTCTTCTTCTAGTATTAGAACATCATCTGTTGCATCATCACCCTCTGCTATTACTAGTCAGACCACCACGCTGGCTCCTGCAGGCACAACTTCTAGCAGTCCTGTTTCTGTTCCAAAAGCCTCCAGCTCTTCAACAACACCAGTACAAAGTGATCCAACATCAGCTTACACTGGAGATTCTTTGTCCATTATTGCTACATCCTCTGCTATCAGTGAGTCTACCAATGCCGCAGTTCCATCTGTATCATCTGAAGGTACTTTGGTAGGCTCTCATTTGTCTTCTGGCACTACTACTTTGGCTCCAGGAGCTACGACGTCTAGTACAACTTCTGTTGGTGTTTGTTCTCCTCAATGTTCAGGACTGGATCTGACCACTCATGCCAACAATGCGAACTTCCCTCTTGCTGACATTGTTGTTTCCAGTGCTAAGTGGACAGGAGGTGATAACTATGACGTTACTATCAAGTTTTCATCTGACGATTCCATGTCTCTATTCTCATTGAGTGAACTGAAAATCATTGGTAACGTTTACAAGCTTCTTTACTCTAGAAACTCGAAGGTCTATTTGATCACTGATCCTGGTAACTGGGAGGCAACTGTTTCCTTGACACTTACTGCTGATTCTAACGGTAAAGTTGTGATGCCATGCTTCCAGATTCAGTATGACTGGTGTACTGCTGGAGTCACGGACCAGAGTGAATGTAAGAACTGGACGTACGGACAGTCTTACGATTACATGACTGGCTGCAGTGGTCAAGTTGATGCTCCTAACTATGGCTGGTCTGCTTACTGTGGCGGTAGTGGTAGTGATGGAACAACTACGTTGGCTGGAAAAGGTACTACGTCAACCACAAGTAAGGGTACTACGTCCACAACTTCTACTTCATTGACTTCTTCAACATCCTCCAAGGGAACAACCACGACAACCAGTCAAGCCGCAAACACTAATAATGGAGTTTGTACTTGTTCCAGCTACAGCACTATCAATG